GGTCGAATGTCCGTGTGACAAAGGGAAATTATAGAGGGAAGTGATATATTAGAAAAGGCTGGGGCCGGCGAGCCGGGCGGGCATGGTGGCGCAAACCTCCTTGTCTTTATCCAACGAACGATCAAGTATGCCAACAGTCTCATCACAACCAGTTTTACATAACGCGTTGTCCTTTTCGTTGAAGTTCTTCGAATGAGGGATATGGAGGTTCATCCGACTGGTGTGATGGTGTGGCCTCCATCATCGTAGAGGTAGCAAGGCGAAGGTGGTGATGGGAAGTGGAAATGAGAATGAGAGGTGGCGTAGTACGTTGTGTTCGTAGATGTTGAAGGTGCAATTGAACAGGAATGAAAGAGATCTGGGGGAAGTTGTTAGAATCGGGTGGCATAATCTCTGGCAACCCGGCACAGAGACTAGGACCAGGAACGATGCATGTGTAGGCGGGTATTGTGCAGTAGCGAAAGCTTAGTGGGAAATGTGACAGGGGTACCTTGAGCTCCTGCCTACTTGAGCCACCCCTCATGAGCTTATTGTTAGGTACCTACTTATATCCCATGCACCTGCTCCCTTTCCCTCCTTGTGCTTTTCCATTTGCAATCTCTTTCCGCGCCAGCTACCAACTTCCTGTCCCTCGGGTTCCAATGGAAACTTCCACAGAGGCAACTCCCCAACCAAGCGAGTCGTACAAAGAGCTTGAAAGCCCGTACTTGCCGCCCCATGTTAGCCTCTCTCCAGAAGTTGATCGACTGGTTTGGGAGTTCAAAGGCACGTTTCCCTCGGCAATTTCCGTCATTTCCAACGACAGCAGTGCCGAAGGACACCTGGAACCATTCTTCAAACCGGCAGATGCAACCGACGACCAAAACCCCGAAAACACCAGCACCGGCACCTACCACCCCATTGCCCTCCTCCCCATGACCCACCCACCCGCGTCCTTGATGACCGTAGCCTCCGTAGACCTCGACAACTGGGAACGGGACTGGGTGGAGTCGCACGAATGGCACAGCGAAGTACACGGCGAATTTGTGACCTACGGCGATCTCGACGACGACATCCGGCCGTGGCTAGATGACCCAAAGGAGGAGGATCCTTATAACTGGGAAGCAGATTCTGACACGGAGTTTCTGATCAAGTGCTGCGGAGAGGATCGCCCGGTGCGCACGTGGGGAAGGAGGTTGAAGGTTACGCCAAGAGGTGCAGGGGGATTTGTCACAATTGGGGATTATGTTTGTGGTGAGTTTTTTGTGTTTGCCTTTTGCTTCTTGGCCGTTCAATCACCTCCCTGTCATGTCCTGGATCTTTGCTAACGATGCGTCACCTCAGCTGTCCATACTTGGCTTATGAGTATGCGCGACGACGTTTTGAAAGCCAGGGGCGTCAGACAGTACGATCAATGCGACGCATCGCATCCGGAATTCGAGTGGATGGTAACTTTTTACGACGATGAGCCAGCACATTGGTTGGTAGAGAAGACGGAATGGGTCCGCAACCATTGCCCGCTCAGTCAAGGTAGCATTGATGCGGCTAACGCGATGCTGCGTTCATTGGGAAGTAGTGGTGATGTGGTGAATGTGGTGAACGTGCCCGTTGGAGGGATGGGTATTCGTATTAACCCTGGAGGCGAGGGACAGGAGGAGACAACCGAAGGACAAGAGGAACGGGAAACTGAGTTAGAGGGAAAGGGGAAGAAAATCGAAGGATAAGTGGAAGTGGAAGACGAGGACAAGGACACGGAAAAAGGACAAAGGAAAATGGTATTGACCGAGGAGGAACCTGAATTTCAAGGGCAATAAGAAATGAGTAGGGGGCACTAGGAGGTGTGTGATATCGATGCAGCTAGTGGCAGGAGAAGGTGGTAAAACCCATATAGCAGAATTTCAAATCTTGTCTTACACAGGAAGGTAGTTCGCAGATTGGAGTAGAAGTACATGAGATCCTTTGCATTCACAATGTCCAGAAATGGGATATCACACAATGTTCCTGATCCTCCACATCACACCACTACCTTTCCGCTACCCAACTACCACGGTGACTTCTCTTCCTTTAAATAGCGGTTGCAGACGCACAATATGAACTTCCGTACGCAATTACACTCGAAGCAACTGCCGTCCCACATGCGCCATTTGAACAATCTCTCAGGCCGTATCCAAAGTTGGCATTCTTGCACAAACAAGACGGCGCGGGACTAGCGCAACCAAGAGCAGAATACTGAGCCACCATGTTGTTGAAGCATATCTGACCGCAAGAGGGCAGAGCAGCCAAGCCGGTGGTAGTGGCAGTGTGGGTAGCAAAAGCTGTAGAATAATATGCGCTTCCGAAAGAGATTACCGTGCTGCCAACAGCAGTTCCACAGGCTCCGTTTGAGCAATCGCGAATGCCGTTCTGGAAGTTGACGTTGTTGCAGAGACAGTAGCTGTCTAGAGCGGCACATCCCAGCGCGGAATATTGGGCAAGCATGTTCTTGAAGCACGTTTGGCCACACGAAGGCAAAGCGGTCAGACGGGGGATTGTAGTGCTGGGAGGTTTTGTGGTAGTTGTAGTTGCCGCAGTGCTTGATTTGGATGGTGTGGTTGAGCTTCCTGTTTTGGTAGCGGAACTAGAGGTTGTGGTCTTCAAGCTGCTTGTGGATAATGACTTGGTCGTAGTACTAGTTGTGGCGGTTGATGTTGAAGCTTTTGAGGTTGAGGCGGTTACGGGATTGCTCGTTTTAACGGTGGCTGTGGAAGATGAGGTTGTGGAAGAGGTTGGTTGGCGGTCACAGTTCCCCAACTGGCATTTGCCGTATGCGCAAAAGTCAGGGCCAGTTCCGCATCTCCCAGCTGCATTGCAACAATCTCCCCATATACCCGTACAGGACCTAAAGCCGTGGTCTCGGCCACATGTACCGTCTGTGCTATAGACAGCATCGCCTACACATGCACCTTCGTAGCATGTTCCCTCTGCACAGTCTTCTCTGATGTTAGGAGATAGCGTTAGATTATACTTTATCAGATGGAGGTAAGTAAAGGTAGTGTTTATGATTGACAAGGACTTACGCAGAGTCGCCGCATCTCCAAGTTAGTGCATTGCAACATTGACGCCCAGTGCCGAGACAAGAAGCATTTTTGTGAGGAGGACCGCAGAGACCGTCATAAGCTCTGATGGGTTCGATAACTACGGTATGCAAGCGGAGGTCATTAGTCTGTAGATGAAACGGCAATCCCAAGTTTGTGTCTTTCACTTACACCCTCGAACGCAATACTCGGTATCGGCTTCAATGTTGCCGCAGTCACGATCCAGCCCTGGATTCAACCCGAATAATGTGTCGACACTGATCCTATTTCTCGCAGCAAGTGCGGTGCACGTGTAGTAGTTGATCTCCATGCCCTCTGTGCTGTCGGTATCTCGACAGTTGATCTCACCCGGCTGGGGGTCTTCGTTGATGAGGGGGCTGATGGTGACTGGCACCAGCGCGGCGGAGGAAGAAGTTGCCGTCGCGGGTAGGGAGCTGGAAATACTGGCACTTGCAGTGGTTGTAGAATTGAGAGCAGCATTGGTGTCGGACAGGTCTCGTTTCTCAAATTGACCCGGTTCCCAGTATATAGGCTGACACTCGCTTTCCTTTGCACAAACTGTGCTTGTAAGATAGAAGAGCGCAACGAGATAGAAAGCAAGGCGCTGGGGCCATGCGCTTCTGTGGGGTAGCTGCATGTTGGAGGTACCTCTAGGTAGAGGTAGGTAGGCAAGAGTCTGGTTTTTTGGTGGATGAGATGTCGGGTGGGAAGTGGAAGGTTTGAGCGAGGGCGACATGGACAACCAGCTCCAAGAATGGGCGGCGACGACAAGGCAGTTATTGTTTGGAAGGAGATTATTGGCCTGTCCACTGGCATGAATACACCGAGCGAGAAGGCTTCCTCTCCGGTGCCGTGCCTTCCATCTCGAGAATTTGATGTTTTCCCGTAGTGGAACAGAACGCGTACCTACCTGTGTTATCTCGGGCAAGTCCATTGTGTTCATCCCGTCCGTTGTTCCCTCAATCATTTCCGGGCAATGTGACATCCTGCTTCAATTTTTATGTGATAGGATTCGAAAACGTCCCCGCTAGCTTCGCGAGTGCGACTTCCAACCAACAGAGCGGCAAAAATCGTGATGCGGCTTACAAGCTCAAATAGGCAGGAGCTATGTATGAAGGGTCAGTTAGCCTTGTCGAGTCGGCCGGATTTGCCGAACGTTAAGCTTCTGACATATGCACTTTCCCGGGCGGTCCGCATCTCCGTGAGTCCGTGCCGCCCGCGGCATCGCGTAGTGGGGCAAGTGGGGACCTGACTGGATTGTTGTGCGACGCACAAGGCAACGAA